AGAGACGGGGTTTCACTGTGTTGACCAGGATGGTCTCGATCTCTTGACCTCGTGATCCACCCGCCTCGGCCTCCCAAAGTGCTGGGATTACAGGCGTGAGCCACCGCTCCCGTCCTAGGCCCATTTTTCTTCTCATTCTATATCATACTCTTTCCCTGGGTGATCCCATTTATGTCCATCATTTAATTATGTCCTCACATAGGACATGTGCACATTTACATATTAATCCCAGACCACCTGAGCTTCAGTCCCACATATCCAACTGCCCATAAAATCATCTACCTGAAGTCTCAAAGGCAGCTCAAAGTCAACACTTCCTAAACTGAGCTCATGGTGCACCATGGAAACCTGTCTCCTCTTCAATTCTCATGCCTGTGCAAATGATGTCTCTATTCAACCAATTGTACAAGCCAGATATCTCAGAGCCAAACTTCTCAAAACCTCTCCAGTAACTCTGTCAATAAGGCTTATTATTACTACCTTCAATAAATCTCCATTTAGTCTTCAAACTAGGTCTCCTTTTGTTTCACTTCTCTCCATCTCCTTAGCCACAGCTTTGCGCCAAGCTACCATAATCTGCCACCTGGAATACTGAAGCAGCCTTCCAACTTGCCTTTCCACATGCAACTTGCCCCTGTCTCTTCTATTCCACGCTGGACTTCTGGTGATTTTTTTTTCTAAATGCAGTTATTTTTATGTCACTCACATATTCAAAGCCCTCCAAGGACATCCAATGCCCTAAATACTTAATAGGGTGGGTCTTAACTTACCTCTTCAGTCTTATCTCATAATATCCTTCCCTTAACTACTCTCATCACTCCTCTCCTTTCCCCATCAGTTCATCTCTTCAGCAACATTTACTCCAATTGTACTTCTGGGTTTATTTGCATCATTATTTAATCAATGTTGTCCACCTCTAGATCATAAGTTCTGTGGAAGTGGAAACTATTTGGCCCCCTTTAGTTTTAGTGCTTGCTGCACAGCAGACACTCAACAAATATCTGTGGAAAGAATAAATGAAATAGAATTTGAGCATCTTCCTTTTTATTCTTTTCCCTTTTTTTGCCTTCTTATGCCAAGTTCTTTTTTTTCACATCTTTTCTCCTCTATGAATCCTCTTTCTAGAAGAGATCATCTACTAGCTTTAGCTTGCTCTACATTTCAATGGAAACAAACTGCCCACTCCTCCATTACATCGTTTCTGTGGTTTTGCTTATACTATTCCTTTCATTAGAATTTGCTTCCCTGTTCTTAAACACACACACATGCACACACATACATGCACAATATCATACCATACCAGTTTTCAAGGGAAGGAGGGCACATTGTCTATGGCCAACTTCCTACTCCCAGTTCACCAGATGAATCGGAAGATCAAGCACGTGTGATTGTATACACATGTACAATCAGTTTTCAACTGGTATGGTATGATATTGTGTATATATGTGTGTACATTTTTTATCAATATCTCCAATGATATATTTAATGTGAATTGTTTCTTGATCTCCTCACATGCAAAGCTTCTCTTTCTTTTATGAATTCTCAAAGCACTTAC